AGACGTGTGCTCTTCCGATCTCCCCAAAACCCCAAAACCCCATAGTGCAAAATATTATAAATTTAAATGGAATGAAAAAGGAATATAATTGAATTTAAAACTACAACAACAGTTAATATTTCATAAATAATGTCAGAAAAAGGAAAGAAAGGTAAATCACATTATAGCTTAAATCAGAGTACTAATTATATCAATTCTATAGATAAAAAGAAGTCATCTAGTAAGGACAAGGATAAGAAAGACGATAAGAAAGGCACTCCCAAGAAAAGCAGTGCTATTAGTGATAAAAAGTCAACTAAAAGCAAGAAAGGCGAATCGCCATCAGGTAAATTCAAATAATTCAAAATTTGACATGTTTTAATCATCATTTATATTAGCTTCCAGAGCTGATCTAAAGTCTGAACTTGAAAGCCAGCCGGATATTACCAGTAAGATAGGTACTCAAGATGGCGCTCAAATGCAAGGCCAAAATCAAGGTTTTCCACCAGGGTTTGGTGGATAGCCTGGAGGCATTCCAGGATATCAAGGAGCTCTAGGCTCTTCTTCAAACTATGGAGGACTAATGGGTGGCTAATTCGGTGCCATGATGAATGCAGAAGGCAAGAAGCATTGTTTCCTTCACAACCAGCAGCTGAGATATTTCTGCGATTCTTGTGAAGAACTGATTTGCTATGATTGCACAGTAATGGGGCCTCATAACACCTAACTCCATCGTATTTCATCTATGGAGGAGGCATTCAGATCCAGATTTGATTTGATTAATAGATCCATTCATCACTCAGTAGTGCCAAAGAGAGCTCAGCTAATTGCTCAGATAGTAAGACTAGATCATAGAATTGATGAAATCAAGACAGTCAAGTCAGTAATTGAGAAGGATATTAGAAACGAGTATGGAGCTATAATGGAGAGATTAAGGAGTAGCGAAGGTGTCAAGATGGCTGTACTTTAGCATGATATTGCTGAGGTGTAAAAGGATATAACGAGGATTGATGAGATCTTAATGACAATGGAAGAAATAGCTAGTGGAAATGGATAAATAACTCCTTAGTAATAGCAATAATTAGCCCCAGATATTTTGGCATTCCTGCATAAATATAGATAAATAAATGAGAACATTGAGTATGCAGTTACTAAGCAATTCAAGGTTGAAATAGATGTTTATCCTAATGATTTACCCCGTGAATTGGCTGAGAGAAGAGTTTTGATGGAGCATTACGAGGAATAGAGAAAACTATTAAAGTTCAAGGATGATGTTATTTGGAAGTTATCCCAGGAGTTGAAGAAGAAATATGATTACTTCCAGGATGAGTTCGATAAGGAAACTCGCCATGAAATGAACGAATGGGCTAGATTAGTGGACAGATATGCTGGAGAACTTAAAAAATATGAACTCGTATGTTCCTTCTGTGGCCAGCACTTAGCTGACTCTAATGTAAATGGAGAGTGCATTGAGAATACTATTGCTATTGCATCAGGAGGCAGAATGGGTTTTACTGCTCCTCCTACTAGATAAAACTTATCAGCTACTCCACAGCAGGTACTTGCTCAACCTTCTGATAGATCTCAAGTAATTTACTATACAGATGAAGATCCTCCTGCTGAAGCATTCGGAACTAAGAGACATTTCTTCGGAAAGCCATCACTCAAGGGATACAAGCAGAATCCTTTCAGGACTCAGACAGCTGGTCTTTTGAAAGAGGAGGTAATTCTTCAGAATTTAGAGGCTGCCGCTGTACTCAAGAAAATCTACGAGATGGATCATCACATGAAAATAGACTTAGACTCTAAATTCAGATAGTTCGATCCCAATAATACTGGTATCATAAAGAAGAATGATTTCATCAATGTCATCTTTGAGAATGTAAGAAGCATCTAAGCTAGTGAACTGATGCAATTCATGAACCTATTCACTACAAGCTTTGATGATGTGGTGAATTATGACGACTTCTTAAAGGTTCTCTACAAATTCGGAGACATGCCCTTCCAGAACCCCAATGCCTACATGTCCTAACAGAACTTTAATCAAGACTATTCCCCGCAGTAAGATGGTTTCTTAAGACAGTCTTCTTAACAACCACATCAAGACTAAGTATCTGGAAACATTGAAGTCATGCAAAATTTAAGAGATGCTCTCTTACATAGACTGCAACCTAAGCAAAAGGAAATAGTGGAGAGAATCAGAGGCTAATTAAGGGATTAAAATATTGAGGAAGTTTTGAGAAAGTTTGCTAGGGACAACAAGGATCACATCAATGAAGACGAATTACTGATAGGTATAAGCAAGATGAATGCCAATGTCTACCTTGCAGACATCAAGGAATTAGTTAACTTGCTCAAGAATGGTAAAGAAGGCTCTAAGATATCCATTGCTGAAACAGTGTAGTTAATTGCATAATGAGTACCTTTTCGTTAAATGGATGGAAGATAAATACTTTATAATTTAATGATGATTTTTCTGAACTTTAATATTTTAATTGTCCTTTATTCACATGATACGGGGTTTTGGGGTTTTGGGG